GGAATTATATCGTGTAAATGCACAAACAAGTCACTAACGGACTTTTACGGGCTTTCACGGGTCATCATGGTTTCTTTGAAGCAATGCTTTGTGGTCTAATAGCATAGAAGACACGACATGAATTTAAATCCGCAATTGAATGTAAATTATGTCAGAAAGCCTTTTACTCCATTGTCGATTACATAGAAGACAAGAATTTTTGATTAATTTCGCACAGGCTATTTGTTAAGCATAAATGTGATGTGGGCTAGTTGTTTTTTTTTTTATGATTTACTTCAGTTTCATTTCTATTCCAACTTTCATTTTTATCTTTATGGCCTTTTCCGCTTTTAGTCCAATGACATACCAGCACACATCAAAACAATGTTGTGGTATATTTAATGATGCCATTGTATCTTCATGTTCATTAAAAAAGAGTGGCCGAGAGTTTGTTTGATATTTCTGCTCATACGCTCAACCCCTTGGAAACGGGTGGTTGTAGATCTACACAGGCATATTTGTTATAGATTTTCGATATTATATTATATTTATTTTGCTAAATATTTGACAAAACATAAACATATTTTGAGTTTAAGTTTTCGCTTTGTAATCTTTCTGTGATTGCCACAACTCGTCGTTGAGCGTAACTCAGCAAGTATATATGTATGTGTATCTCAGTATGTATGTATGTATATCCGTCAGACTGGTTCTGCCTATATCTTTAATTATTATTATCTCGTTACATATAAAAGTTAATTTCAAGTGCACGTACTCAGACATTTCCCCACCACTCAAAGGCAGACTGGGAGAAAATGCCTGTGGCATTAAGTACGCCATTGTACAATGAATTGTTGTTGCAAACAGAATTAAATAAAATAAAAAATATTAATAATGTCGTAAAAACCATAACAATAAATTCGCGAAGGGAAGTTTTACGGGGTCCATCAGATGTTTCGCTTAATAAGCGTTTTCAATCTTTGCCACAGCTTTGGCTAAAAAAAATTAACTCAGCTTTCGCGTGTCGCTTGCAACATTTTACCATCGGAACTAATTTCTAGAAAAAACTTCTAATAAAATTTAATTTAATTTACACACGATATCTGTTGTCACAATAATTGACTTTTCAAACGCGTGCCATAACTATTTAAGTGTCTAACTAGGTATAACTAATCTTTTAATATCGGTAACATAACATCAACTAAACGAAACTAATTAAACACTAATTTGAAAATTTAATTTAATTTACAAACAACATTTCTTGTTACGTTTACCGGCTTTAATAGTTTTACTATAAATTACCTTCCAATATCGACATACACCATAGTACTGTCATAGTAACGTTGAACTTGCTTAAATCACGAGAATATTTGTCAGAATCTTAAGACAATGTATTTGTTAATATTTTTGCTTTTGAAAATTGTGCTTCTGGCAAGTGCTGTTCCGTCTCATTCCGAAGGCTTCGTTATTGTTGCACCAAAAGGCTGTCCCCACCATACCTATGCACCAGTATGTGGCACCGATTTGGTATCTTATATTAATACGAGGTGTGTACCACAAGGCGTTAGAATTAAGTCTTATGACCCGTGTCCAACCTCAAGGTATGAATATGATTACATGGGAAGATCAAAATGTACGCCTTGCGGTAAAGGTAAATAATAAAAAAAGAAAATATTGTGTGATCCCTTGATTGTTCAATAAATGAAGTATAATAATGCAGTATTTTATTTTCATCAGATTTGGTTTATGATTTTCGAGTGTGTGTATGTATGTACTAGCTGGCATCCGCGTCTTCGTTTGTGATGAATTCGAAAAGCTCTGCGTTAGTGGTGTAGTACGGTACGCGACTGCAGTTCATGAGGCCTTGGGTGCGATTCAATGGTGGCAAAATTTTATAGGGTTTTTATTATTAAAAAAAAACCGGTCAGGTAAGAGACGAACTCGTGCGCCGAGGGCTCCGTACCTACCCAGATTTTACGCATATTTTCGCGAAAATTTGTAAGTAACAAAATTTATTTTAATTTTCAACTTACAACTAAAATTATTCCTTAATTTGTGCTGTAAAACGTTTCTTTTTGCCAAATTTCGTGATTCTAGGTCTACGGGAACTACCATATAGGTTTTGACCCAAAACCTATAGGGTACTTCCGGTTGACCTAGAATTGTCAATTTTAGTTAAAATCAAGGTCTTACAGCACAAGTAAAGAGAAAATTCAGAAAAAAAAATGTTGAAAATTAAGGTAAATTTTGGTACTTACAAGTTTTCGCTAAAATCGAAATTTGCCCATATCTTTTTATGGTTTTGACTCAGGACCTTGATTTTTATACACCTAATAGGGACCATAGACCTTAGTATCTGGTACAAATTTCTTGCTAGGTCTAGCCGTTCCTGAGAAGATCGGTAGTAACACACACAGACAGACGGACAAGAAAGTGATCTTTTAAGGGTTGCTTTTTTACCTTTTGAGGTACGGAACCCTAATAGCCTAAGTTATATATATTATAGTTATTGGAAAAAGCAGGTTTCAATCTTATTTACACCTCTATGAGCCTGGGATTCATCCCACACTTAATTTTTAACTTTTTTTAACATAAATTGTCAGGTTTGCCGCGGTTTTGATCTATACAAATAAATAAAATTAAAGTGTCTGTTTGTAATGTCAAACAATAGGTTTTTTCATGCTCACAAGGTTATTTGCAAAATACCTATGCCTAAAAACCAGTTTAAATATTTTTGTCTGTCTTTCTGATTTTGATAATATTTTACTACCAGCGAGCTGTCTATATAAGGAGTAACTTAGGCAATTTTTTCTCTCAGAAAAACCCTATGAAATTTTGCTTGGTCCAGGAATTGAACCTCATGAACTGCAGTCGTACCGTACTACACCACTAAAGCAGCGCTTTAGCGGTATAGGACACACATACGAATTTCAAAATATCGATTGCCATAATTCCTAATGTAATTAATTTGTGTATAAAATAAATAAAGAGAATAATAATACACGTAATGCAAGGCCTAACATAGACCAGTTTGCATTCACCATACGGGCTTATTACTAAAGCTATGCTCGTAAAGCAACCCACCAGAAATTACTCCGACAAGCAATGATATTAAATAAACAAGAGGTAGATAAGCCGCCACCGCACAGAACGCGAGGGTCCTAATTAGGACCACTGCGAGCGACATTACGACAAAAAGGTAAATAAAGATAAAAGAATATCATACCACGGGTAAGTGTATGTTTTGTTCTATAATTAACCCCCCCCCCTCCCCCAATCCAAAATTTTTTTTCAAAAACAAGCCCAAACATGGTGTACAGTGTCGTGAACCGTACACTACTATTAGTTTGTAAGTTTAGGTGTGAGTGAGAGGAAGCTCTTCAGGTAGTGTTTTAAAGTTTATTGTTCACAAGTTACGTAAAATGATATAAAGTGATTCTTACATCAGAGTTAACGTTACGAAGTTAAAGTGCACACTGAGTCAAATTAATTGCACTGCACAGATGGCGCAGTGGTTTAAGTGGTCGCCACGCCGCTTCCTACTGCGCCGAGTGTTGTGGGTTCAAACCCCACATGGGACGACACTTTGTGTGATCCACAAATTGTTGTTCTGAGTCTGGGTGTTCTTTGTGTCCGTTTCATGTATGTTTGTAAAGTCCCCCGCGACACAGGATATATTCCTAATGCGGGAGTTGTCTTTTTAAAAAAAAAAAAAAAAAAAAAAAAAATTATTACGACGGACGGAAAGGAATCGACCGTTTTGCGTAATCAGCTAAATAATATTTTTGCCTAAGTGTACGTAAACCGTACACATGGTATATATGCTGTAATTATTTTAAGAGTAGCCTATCCCACAGACTACTTGATGCAGCAACAAGTTCCAGGTTACCATATCGTGGAAACACCATCAAAGTAACAGTATACCAAATTTCAGATCAATCGGACCTGTGGATTGTAGTGAGATCCCTTTATCTCCTAGGAAGTGAGCTGATGATCTTCAAAATTTATAGCTAGGAATCATCTCGATCACATCGGCTTTCGAACAAAAAAATACCCATCGTAATTGGTCCATCTGTTCGGGAGGTATGATGCACAGATACAGAGGTTAAACTTAAAACACCCCAGGCTTGTGTCCACTAATAACAAATTGCTTGGTTTATAGTTTCAAAATATAAATGAAGAGACATAGATAAGAAAAACCAGTCTATTTCCCATAAAAGTTAAAGATTATTAATATTTAAAAAAAATAGATTCCAACAAATTAAGTCACGTGACAGCGAACACCAATCAGAAAGTGTTACGTCACGCCACGCAAAACATCATTGTTGTTGTTTTCATACAACAGAGCAGGTTACTCCTTATTGTTTTTCGTTTTTAGCTTATTTTCTCACCTTAATACAGTTTCAGTTGACACTGGACACAGATGTAAACAGTTTTGTTTCGCAGACTGTGACGTCACTCAGTACACTATTCAGCGTTTTCAAGGGAAATTTAAACTGTTTTTTTTAATACAAAATACATAATGTAAATATTGCTTTTCCTTTAAAATATAGGTTTTTTTTGGGATAAAATAGATATAAAAGTATATAAAAGTTTTCAAATTGAGTCAACTAGCCTATAGATGTATGTACGGTTACGGAATAAATATTTTGTGCGTGCAGTATGAATATAACGTGTCTTCCTTAAAATATCACTTCAAGAAAAACTGATAGGTAATGCTGATACCACAAAACCCAGTCAGGTTTATGGAACCTCCATAAATCTATACTAATATTATAAAGCTGAAGAGTTTGTTTGTTTGAACGCGCTAATCTCAGGAACTACTGGTCCGATTTGAAAAATTCTTTCAGTGTTAGATAGTCCACTTATCGAGGAAGGCTATAGGCTATATATCATCACGCTAAGACCAATAGGAGCGGAGCACCAATGAAGAATGTTATAAAAACGGAGAAAAATTATTACAATTGAGAGACGCAGACGAAGTTGCGCGGGTCAGCTGGTATGGAATAAATTGCAAAACTTACCTCCAAATCTTTTTTCTTCCTCTTTTTTTTAACTTTGACTGTTCTATCTTTTAGCAGGGAAAGTTGAATGTCGTCTTCTGAGGTCGCGTCGTGCGCTGATGGGAGATCCTCGAAGGCTGTATCGTGGAGTATATCTTCTGTTTCTTCTTTTATAGGTACATCTGTAACAAAAGTTACGATACATTAATGGAGTATCCGTGTGGTGACGGATGAAGAATGCAGGGTGAAGAGCCGATTAAGGGAGTATACTACGCAGGACAACAGCACTGCACAGAGAAGGAAAACTTGAAAAAAACCCTTTTTTTACGTGTGGAAACCACGTTTGCGGCGGGGTTATTTACTATAAAAATATAAATAAAAGTTAAAATCATACACAGCTGTAACTATAGCAAGAAATGTCGGATAAAAGTCTTGTTACACATTTTTCGGTGTCGCTCCTATCCGCTCAGAGCGTGTAACGCGCTTTTAAGAACTTCGTCCAAAAAAAACTTACCAAATACAAAATTTTCCTCCCCCTCAGTTTCCTCTTTAACTCCAAACTCTATCTCTTCTTTATCAATCGTGTAGTTCGGTGGGCATTCCACGTTTTGGAAACACACAACTGACAGTTTTGTGGTAGTGTGGTGTTTGAAATCATCCGGTGAGTCCAGGAATGTTTTCTGAAAAGAAACGTAACGTTGTAACGTAACGGAACATTGTAATACCATGTAACATTGTAACATAACGTTGCATTGTAAAATAACGTAAATTAGAACGTAACATTATGACGTAACGTAATATTGTAACGTAACGTAGACGACCGGATGGCGTAGTGGTTTGTGTAACGGACTGCTATTCCAAAGGTCGCGGGTTCGATTCTCGCTCAATTAATGTTTAATGTTTGATTCGGTCTGGGTGATATAATATGTATGTATTTGCAAAAAAAAGTATATATGTATTTATACCAGTTGTCTAGTACCCATAGTACAAGCTCTGCTTAGTTTGGGACTAGATGGCGTTGTGTGAATGTAAAAAAAAGCCGTGTGGTGTCGTGGGACACCCGATAAGAACGAAGTTGTGACGATCGAGTAAAACTAATTTGACACGATTTTAATTATGTCTGACAAGATGACACGAAAATTAAGAGCAAAAAGCCAACATCACGTGGTATTCCCAGGCGGTCACCCATCCAAGTATTAACCACGCCCGATGTTGCTTAACTTCGGTGATCGGACGAGAACCGGTGTATTCAACATGGTATGGACGTTGGCGAACGTTAAAGCAAATTTAATGTATGGTATCCACAGTTAGACGTCAATTTATATTAATAATAAAGTGTCGTTCCAAATTTTCGTACGAATTTTTTCCGTCTACCCCCCTTTCACAACGCGCGATAAGGAACTTCGTTCCAAAATGTAACATTGTAACGAAAACTAAAAGTTTTAAAAAACCACTACCGTAACTGTAATTTGACAGGTCGTTTTGCAAACTGTTAAAGGGTTTTGTCGAGACCGCTTGAAATATACCTACTGTTATCTATACTAATATTATAAAGAGGTAAAGTTTGGTTATATGCTACACTAGCTTATGCCTTCGTTCGCGTGGAATTTGAAAAGCGCTGCCTTCATCATCATCAACAGCCTATACTAGTCCACTGCTGGACATAGGCCTCTCCTTAGAAAGGAGGTTTTGGCGTACTATACCACGCTGGCCAGACGGGTTGGTATAGGGTTTGTTTCAAGTTTTCCTTCTCTTTGCAGTGCTGTTGTCCTGCTTAGTTTGCTACCTTAGTCGGCTCTTACGACACCCACGGGATGAATTGGGGTGGTGACAATTTGTATTCTTAATCCGTCACCACACGGACTCTTAGTGCGCTGCCTTAGTTGGTACAATTCTCGGACCGTACCGAACGACGTAAGTTACTCCTTATATAGACAGCTACCTGGTAGTATAATATTATCAAAATAGGTAGAGCCGTATTGAAGATTACTCGGAAGAAAAGAATAGACAGACAAAGATATTTAAACTGGTTTTTAGGCATAGGTTAATCGTGCAAATAACCGTGTGAGCATGAAAAAACTTTTCTGACATTACAAACAGCCACTTCACACAGAAGCTAGTCTAAAAAAAGTAACCTAAGTTACTCCTTATGTCATCATCAGCTATCTGCCAGTGAAAGTCCCGTCGAAATCGGTCCAGCCGTTCCAGAGATTACCAAGAACAAACAGACAGACAGACAGACAGACAGACAAATTTGTGAAAAATGTTATTTTGGCATATGTACTGTGTAAACATACATATGCATTTAGTAAAAAGTGGTTATTTTAATATTACAAACAGACACTCCAATTTTATTTATTTGTATAGATGTATGTGATGTATGTAATGTGATGATATGTATTAGATAATAATAAACAAATAGTAGGTTCACAAATTCAGATATTCAACTACTACTGTCTCTCTGCAACTTTTGATCCATCCTAAGGTTGCCTGGAAGAAATTGCATTTAGCAAAAAGGCCGCCCTTGGTACACTCGATATTTGATCGCTGTGTTCCTTTCTTGTAACTCTGTAATTTAGTGTGCAAATAAAGAGTTATCTATCTATCTATGTATTACTTTATGATGTTTCTGGATTTCAATCAATCATATAGGCAATTGCTTTGCCTAAAAAAAAAATTTAGGGATGGGTCACCCTTACCATTTGGGGGTATGAAAAATAGATGTTGGCCGATTCTCAGACCTAAACGATGTGCACACAAAATTTCATGAGAATCTGTCAAGCCGTTTCGGAGGAGTACGGGAACGAACATTGTGACACGAGAATTTTATATTTAAGATTACCTGCATTGAAAACCATGCTGCAGGCTGAGCCTGTGCTATGACAGCCAGACCACTGATATACATACTTAATTTTTTTAAGTACATACATATTCTAGGTAAATTACACACAAATATTTGTCCTGGGTGGGAATCAAACCCACAACCCTTGGGTCACTAACCATTAAACCGACAGGTCCATGAAAGTAAAAAACCATTTCCTTAGTGTTTAACAACTGTTTAGCTTATTTTAGTTGTTTTTTTTTTTGTGATTCTCTTCCGCACTAACTATTGCAGCGATATCCTAGACCATGGCTCCTCAAGGGTGTATGGTGTCTATTTACGTGTTATTCATAGGGATGATTTCTTAACTTACCTCCTGAGAATATTTGATAAGGAAATCAAATGACTTCAAAATTTGTTGTCTGAAGTTCAAAGTTTTTTTTACATACGCCAGGCACTCCCAACATAGTTGAACTTCCAAACCATCTGATATCTAAAAAAAAAGTAACGCGAATGTAACGAAAACATTACCTAATAAAATTGTTTTAATACATTTCGAGAGAATAAAAAAAATCGAACAAAACAATGGCGTATCTAAAGATTTTTGTTCTATGTTTATATGTAATATTTTATGAAAAATGAATGAATACACGCTGTATTCTAAGTATTTAACACATTTTATTAGTTTTCAAGGAGATTTTAAATGAAATAAAGTAATTACAAGCTCCTTACATCAATTTCGCCAAGTAATTTAAAACACACTTTTATATCGTTATCATAGTGCATACGACGGTTATAGTTCAGGCAGCCGACACATATTCCGTTTACATTATATCCTTCAATATTAATGTTTATTTCCTTCATTTTGAATGCACTTTTCACTACTATTCATTTAAGTAAAATCACAAAATTTCTTAAAAGTAAAGGAAGCTTCATTCCTTTCTTTCGGCCATTTTGTCATCTCTATTCTCTATATGTCATTCTTATTCGTTGTTTTTTTTATCAATGTGTTAATTATAACAAGAAAGTAAAAGTCTTTTATTTAATATATGATTTTGACTTGATAATTAATATCCTTAAATTCAGTTCTTTTTAATTTAAAAATCAAAATGACTAACATTTTTAAAGTTCTTGACCGATTTCTTTACCTTTGTAACTTGCTTGTGAAAGTTTTCAGTGAAACGGAATTTACAGGTCGTGTTCCAAAAACATATTTTATTTTCTTGCTCTTTCTGTTACGATACTTACCTATATAGCTATCTTTTGGATCTTTCTCTTATGCTAGTAACATGTACATTCTGCTTCAAGTACGATAAATGTCAAGTGCATTTTTTATCTGTGCGGTTGTTTAAGTTATTTTATAGTTTGCTAAATCTTAATCCATTTTAATGATTTAGGTGAGTCTTTGAACTCAATCTTTTCTGAATTAAAGTACTGAAAATGTTTCGTTCATATAGGGACACTGTTAGAACACCGGTGAAAACTAGCAAAGAGGCAGCTAAAAAATACTATTGCGACCTCTGTGATGATGATCACCAGGACAGAGTTTGGGCGTCGGAATTAGACGTAGAAATTCACAGAAGAAGAGTTCATAATGAAGAATTAATTCAGTTGATGAAGGAGCCTAAAAACTATATGTGCAGTGTGAGTTGGTATTATTGTAACTTGTAGGTTGTGTGCTCTATGATTCCTTTGCTTGTTTTAGTTGCAAGTAAAAGTTACTCCTAAATTATTATTTTTGCTTATTTAGATCATGATAATGAAATGAATATGATTTAAGTTTTAAAAATTACCGTCTAAAAATAAGACCACACCAAGATCACAGATATGTTGATGTCACATTACATATAGCCACAATGCACAAGGATTACTGCCTAACTACCTATACTAATAGATATTGTTTACTAGTAATATGTGAGATATAAATCAAATGATTGATATAACATTAGTCTACAGTCTATTACAGAATATTAAAAGAGGTCTATAAACACTGTACCTCATTAATTGGGCACGGTAATAAAACTGTTTCATTCAAAATAGGTATATTTTTATAGTTCCAACAATTTTTACTGTTGCTATTCTAATAAATTTTCATAATGGCTATGCAAATTATATAATTTTTTTAATCATCATAATCAACAGCCTTTAACAGTCCACTGCTGGACATAGGCCTCACCTTAGAAAGGAGGTTCTGGTCTACTAAACCACTCCTGTCCACAATTGTCCTGCTTAGTTTGCTCCCTTAGTCGGCTCTTACGACACAAGACACAACAAGACACAACATTTATTATTCAATTAACTCTTTTTTCAGGTATGCCTAAGGAAACAATCAGATAAAGCCACTTTAATAGCGCATATAAAAACAGACCACCTACTCAGTTCACCGGACGCCCCAAGAGTAAAACGTGAACTATTTATATGTGATTACTGCAACAATATATTTTTTAATAAATTATTATTAACAGCACATATAAAATTCTTCCATGCCATTTCAAATACTGAAAAGAAAACAGGAAACACCACATGTCCGTTTTGTTTGAAAATAATTAAAATCAGATCAATTTGGTTTCATTTTCTTTGCCACGATATAATAAACCCGGGGACGTGTCCCGTCTGTTTGGTGTCGTTTGATGAATATCAGGATGCTTTGAAACATACAGAGTGTCACCCCTGCTATTATTATTGCTCTATTTGCACTTATGAAACGGACAAAGAAGGACTGTTTCTAAGTCATATAGGAAAACATAAAAAAATGATAAATTTAGAAGGAAAAGATGTTAAGATGGTATCGAAATATTTTGTACCTCAAAAGAGAGCTTTGTCATGGAATAGGAAAGTTGTAAATGTATTCAAGGGCATAACTTTAGCTCCGGAGATACAGATATGTGTGCTGTGTAGGACGTTGTGTGAAACGGAGGAACAGATGCTCCATCACATATATGGTGATCATTCACCGATGAACACTGTTGAAATAAAGAGACATGTGTGTGCATGCGGTGAAGAGTTCTTTAACCGAGTGCTACTTAAACATCATATTTTTATGATGAAAGGCAATCATCAAGCTTGTGATGGTAAGTAAATTATTATATGCATTTTTATGTTATAAATGTTAAAGTGAGTCTGTATGTTTGTTACGTTTTCACACCTAAAGCACTAAACCGATTTTAAAAAATGTTACAAATATAACCATAGTTACAAATCATATAACCACACATGTGACTAATTTACGAAACCACTGCGACTATAGTTAAACCGCCGTAAGCTTGGCCCTCCTGATGGTTTGCGGTACGCGGGGCGGGTGATGCGCTCGGCTATACATGACACGATGTACTAACTCGATATCTTCAGATTTATTTTTTTGAGATTTAATCTACACACGATGTAATAAAAATCGAATTTATTTCCATGTATTATTATGTCAGTGTATTGTAAGTTTTTATGATTAATTGGGGTGTGAGGGGCGAACCACCATCTTTCGCCCCAAGCCAACCTCACCTGCCCGCGGTGCATCCTGCTGAACGACGAACGAGGCTCTGGCGACCGACCGATGGCGGTATATCCATCCCAATAGGCGTAGCTAAATACAACAGGCCGGTGACGGGCAGCAGCGTTACCGGTGCGACAAGCTACGCCCTGCGATCGCCAACCCGCCTGCCCAACGTGGCGATTATGGGCAAACCCCTCCCATGCAGACGCAACAAAGGCCACGGCCCCCAGTTCCCGGCGGCCCCGCTATTCCTGGTCATGGTGGCGACCACGGTAAAGGCGGGGTAGGGGGTGCGAAGAATCTCCGGGCTACGGGAGGCCACCACAACCGACTGACCCTGGCTACGTACAACGGACGCACGCTACGGCTAGACTCGCATCGGGCGCAACTTGAGGTGGAACTTGGGAAGATTAGGTGGCATATCCTAGGGCTATGTGAAGTCCGAAGAGAGAGGGAGGACACCATAACCCTCGAGTCAGGCCACCTAATGTACTTCCGCGAGGGGGACCAACAATCCCAAGGTGGGGTTGGGTTTCTGGTAAATAAGTCCCTATCTGACAACGTTGTGGAAATTTCCAGTGTGTCGAACAGGGTAGCGTACCTCATTATCAAGCTCACCGAGAGGTACAGCCTCAAGGTTGTACAAGTGTACGCACCGACCTCGGCACATTCGGACGACGAGGTGGAGGATATGTACGATGACATATCGAGGGCCCTCCACTTCACAACTAAGACCCACTACAACGTTGTTATGGGTGACTTCAACGCTAAAGTGGGAGTACAGAATTGCGGCGAATCGGTAGTAGGATCCCATGGATTTGGAAGCAGGAATCATAGGGGGCAAATGCTGGTCAACTTCCTCGAACGGGAGGGGCTGTTTTTGATGAATTCTTTCTTCAAGAAACAGCCCCAAAGGAAGTGGACGTGGCAAAGCCCCGACGCTATGACTAGAAATGAGATCGATTTCATCATGACGGATAGAAAGCACATATTCAGAGACGTCTCAGTGATCAATAGGTTTAATACCGGTAGTGATCACCGACTTGTCCGGGGCTCTCTGAATATCAACTTTAAGGCGGAACGTGTCTGTTTGATGAAATCCAGGCTCCGACCAACTCGGCTCCAAGCCATGACAGGATCTGAAACGTTCCAGTCAAAACTGGAAAACCGATTCGCTGCCGTGGAAACCACAATCGACGTAAACCAGAACCTCAAAAATGTGGTTCAGATCCTCAGGGAAGAAGGTATGAGATTTTGTGAAATGCAGCGTAAGGGCAGGAAGTCGAAGCTTTCAGAAAGGACCCTAGGGCTGATGAAGAAACGACGTGAAAACCCACCTGTCACTTTGTCGGCAAAGCGGACTCTAAACCGAGAGATCAGTAAACTCGTACGACACGACCTCCGGTGCTCCAATACTCTTTCAATTGAAAGAGCGATCGAGCAAAATCGGGGGTCAAAAGTGTTCGTACAATCTCTTGGAAGAAGCCACCTGACAAAGTTGACTACAGAAAGTGGAGAAGTCGTTGCTTCGAAGCCGGCAGTCCTTTTGGAAGTGGAAAGCTTCTATGGCCGGTTATACGCTTTGCATGCATCTCGACCTGATCCCGAAAATGAGGACTCTAGAGCCACATTAACACGTCACTACACCGAAGACCTGCCAGAAGTTAGCATTGACGAAATCGAGATGGCTCTTGGACAGCTGAAAAATGGAAAAGCCCCTGGAGAGGATGGCGTTACAACAGAGCTTCTGAAGGCCGGGGGTAAACCCGTACTAAGGGAGCTCCAAAAGCTCTTCAACGCTGTCCTGTTTGAAGGGAGAACTCCAGAAGCGTGGAGTAGGAGTGTGGTCGTCTTGTTCTTCAAAAAGGGTGACAAGACCAGGTTGAAGAACTATCGACCCATATCCCTTCTAAGCCACGTCTACAAGCTGTTTTCGAGAGTCACCACGAACCGTCTTGCGCAAACACTCGACGAATGCCAACCACCGGAGCAAGCTGGGTTTCGGAGCGGATATGGCACCATAGACCACATCCACACAGTGCGGCAGATTATACAGAAGACCGAAGAATATAATCAGCCCCTGTGTCTAGCATTCGTGGACTATGAGAAAGCCTTTGACTCGATCGAGATCTGGTCTGTTCTGGAGTCCCTGCAGCGTTGCCAAGTAGATTGGCGATACATCCAAGTGATGAGATGTCTCTACGAAGCCGCCACCATGTCCGTCCAAGTACAGAATCAGCAAACAAGGCCCGTACCATTGCATCGAGGAGTGAGACAAGGGGACTTTATTTCCCCGAAATTGTTCACAAATGCAATGGAGGACATGTTCAAGACGCTGCACTGGAAAGGGCGTGGCATCAATATCAATGGCGAATACATCTCTCACTTGCGATTTGCAGATGACATCGTCATCATGGCAGAGACGTTGCAGGACCTACAGCAAATGCTGAATGACTTAGCTGACACTTCTGTACGCATCGGCCTACGGATGAACTTGGATAAAACCAAGGTCATGTTTAACGAACATGTACTACCGGAACCGATTGCGGTACACGGTGCCGTTCTCGAAGTTGTTCAAAATGATGTGTACCTCGGGCAGACATTGCAGTTAGGTAGAAACAACTTCGAGGACGAAGTGAACAGAAGAATTCGGTTGGGTTGGGCAGCGTTTGGGAAGCTACGTCGAGTCTTCTCATCGTCGATCCCACAGTGCCTTAAGACGAAAGTCTTTAATGAGTGCGTCCTACCCGTCATGACATACGGAGCTGAAACGTGGACACTTACGGTACGGCTGGTCCACAAGTTCAAAGTCGCTCAACGTGCTATGGAAAGGGCTATGCTCGGCGTTTCTCTAAGGGATCGCATCAGAAATGAGGTGATCCGGCAGAGAACTAAGGTCACCGACATAGCGTACCGGATCAGCAAGCTGAAGTGGCAGTGGGCTGGCCATATTAGCCGCAGAACCGATAACCGTTGGGGAAAACGAGTTCTTGAGTGGAGACCGCGTCTCGGCAAACGTAGTGTAGGACGCCACAGGCCAGGTGGAGTGACGATTTGCGCAAGATGGCTGGCAGGAGCTGGATGCGAGAAGCCCAAAATCGATCTAAGTGGCGTGCAATGGGAGAGGCCTATGTCCAGCAGTTTACTGCGATAGGCTGATGATGATGATTAATTGTAAAATTTAATACTGTAAAATAATTTTATTAAAATCACCTTATCTTCGTCATGTAAATTATATTCAGATACAACTTAAAAATTAAGTAAAATAGTAAATATTCTTTATTAGAGCTTTAACAGTAGAACCTCTGTAAGCCGAACTTCATGTTTTTAAATCTTTTTGTGACGCAGAGTCGGCAGATTATCCATGTTGCAAAATAATACCGTGTGTAGCAGTCTTAAGAAAATAACACGTACATCCATACTTTCACGTCAGTCACTGCCGGCGGACAGCGACGCACTAGCTAATTGGTTGAATGCACCCCCGCCCCGCGTCCCCCAAAACATCAGGAGGGCCAAGCTTACGGCGGTTTAACTATAGGTTGCGCTTAATAAAAAATTTGGTGTCTTCTTTGCTTAAGGTAGTTTTGATGGTATTTATTTGTGTCGTGCTCTGCAGCAGAGCCACCTTAAATCAATTATATCTTAGAATGATGTATGTCAAATGCATATAATGTACATAGGCCATCATTGCTATACCCACTGTAACATTGCATTTCTGCACCATTACAGAAAAGTTAATTATCGATGTGTTGTTATTTTGTAAGTTGTTTTGACATGGATTTTCTGACGTTTCAGTAAGCTCCGAGAGATGGCGTCACAGTCGAGATTTTTAGTCTATTTTAATCGACTATTGTATTGATTCGGTCCATGGAATTGTTTACTCTATGGAAGTAATCAAATCAAATCAAATCTTTATTTGCCAACCAAGTGTACATCAATGATCTTATAATATTATATGTAGTAGTATATGCTTTCTGTTTTCCGTGTAATAAGAAATGTAGTTTGTTAAGTGTTTTTTTCCTCAACGTATTCTTTAACAGAATAGAAACATTTTGTAATTAAGAATGCTTTTAGTTTTTTAATGAATAGTGTAGTCTTCGTTTCATTTTTAATGTGGATAGGTAATTTGTTGTATATATTTACAGCCATGTAGTAAGGGCTCTGGTTTATTATTTTAATTCTTGATGGTGGTAGGTATAGTCTGTCTCTGTGGCGTGTGTTTAAATTGTGATTGTCTTTTACTCTCGCGAAGTGACTCATGTTCTTGGATACAAATATGCAGATGTCAAATATGTATAATGATGGTAGTGTGAGGATGTTATATTTAATGAAGAAGGCCCTACAACTATCACGATTTCCAATTTGTCCGATAATTCTAATACATTTTTTTTGGAATATAAATAAATCCTGAAAGTGTACACTGTATTCATTCTATTGTAGTTTTTTTTGCACTTCTTGTTCTGGCAACATTTTTTGGTCGCATTTGCATCTTCCTGGGCGAAGCTGAACAGGGTAGACATGTTTGTGATTTTTGAAAGATGGAAATGAAATCCGTTTCCATTTGTTATAATCAGAGGGTTAAATCACCTTTTATTGTTGCCCAGTTTTGTTAAGAAAACGAGTTTTTTAATGGAAATATGATTTTGCCTTTTTGGTAAGTTTTAATTCGAGGGGGTCGGCACGTTTTCGTCCTAGGCTTAAGGAGACTAGTGTTCTAAATCTTTGATTATTTGGTTACAGGAATTATTAGTAATGCCTCCGATTTATTTGTGAGACGTTTTGGAACCCTGGTGAGTAAATTATTGTATCTTAGCCGCCGCTGCTGGCTGTCCCGTGCGGGCACACCAACCTGCAGAGAGAAGCACCGCTGACGCGCGCACTACGTACTCTGAATATAATTGCGGATGAAATAGATTTATTTTATTGCTCACTGAGTGAATTCACAATAACAGCATTAAGAATTATTTCTTATAATAAATAAGTAGATGGTATAACACTATTGCATTGGGCTAAACCTGTAATAATAGTTGTTTTTAAAGGAAATAAATAAATATTACAGAGCTTAGACTTCATCTTTGGAGCTAGGGAAATAACCTATAATTTTTGTTTGATACAGTGCCGTAACAGGGTTTTTTTTTCTTTTTTAGTTTTGGCTTTTCTTCTTATAAGATTGCAATGTCCTTACGTTACAACTAGTTTTTTACCTCACAACCTGCCTGATCCAGGGATTTAGTTTGCTTCAGAGAGTGGATTTCCTTTCCTAAGTACCTCTAATGGCTGGAAAAGCCTCTAATACCTTTAATTTGTATTATCAAGGTAAACAGATTGCATTAATGACAAAACTAATTTGAGAATAAGAATTACACTTGTAATTAGACCTATAATATTCCATGTACTCTACAGAAACTACGGGATAAATAAACTGCCTCTTAATCTTGTAACATCTCTTTATTTTATAGCTTCCCCCCACCCTAGATTAAAAGCCTAAGCGCTGACCGAGCTATTCCAAGTATTTATTGTATTTGTTATTAATTATCTATGTTCATTTAAGCCGGCACCTGGTGCCCGAGTTTATTGGTTTTGATAGAATTTGCGGTGCCGGATCAGTTAGTTCATTCATTTGTATTCAACATAGACATTCATTAGTTATAATCATATTCTTTTTATTTTTTAATATTACACCACACTACATAACAAGATAATGAACATCGATTGCAGCTCTGCTGCAGAGCACACTCATTTAGCACAGCCAGTTAAACACGTACTCAGCTTAAAAGCTACCGTTTTTTATGAAAACTGTTGTACGAATACTGTTTAGATGTGGTTTGTTAAGATGTGGTTGTAATTATTTTAACTTTTGGGTAATCTTCTTAGAAACTAGACTGCACGGATGGCGTATTGGTTTAAGCGGTCGCCACGCCGCTTCCTACTACGCTATTTGTGTGATCCACAAATTTTTGTTCTGAGTCTGGGTGTTCTTTGTGTCCGTTTCATGTATGTTTGTATTGTCCTCCGTGACTCAGAATATATTTCCAGTGCGGGAGTTGTCTTTTTAAAAACGATCATTTGTTCTGTGTCTGGGTGTAATTTGTCGTATGGTGTAGAAATATACAAGTATGGTATGTATGTATGGTACGGTAGTCACTTTCCATCAGGTGACCAGACTGCTAGTTTGCAACTATTATAGTATAAAATAAAATAAATCTTTCCTATCTTTTCAGGTACAGAAATGACTGTCATCATGACTCACCCAGAAACGAATTTCCAAGATCCTGTATACAATCCAGATGAAGGAACAGCTGGATTCTTTGTTAATATAAAAGAAAATGAAAATACTTCTCATCCTATCATGTTACCCAATGAAGTTGATCATAATACGTCCAGTGATATCACACTGAAATCTCTAGGAAACATATCACCACAAATGTCAACAGAATCAAGATTTAATGTTAACGAACAGATATCAGAACAAGACATTGATAAACAAACGGAACATAAAATTGATTTGCAATTGTTACATGATTTGAATGATTCACAAGAAATAAATATACCATCTGAAGATAACATACACATTCAAACAAACAATGAAACAAATAAAATAGTAATCCAAACATACAATCATACGGATACCCAGTTAAATAATAACGAAAACAATTTGGTAGAAATGGACATAGATCCAGAACCAGACAGGTTAATAATTGACTCCGATAATGATATATACAACGATCAAATAATATTGAACGCAAATGAATATAATTTTCAATCACCGAATAAGTCTAAAGAAATCACAATTGGCACAAGTAATATAAGAATCCAGCTGGTGGATGTTGATGATACATCATCACACAATCAGATCCCAAGACTTAAGAAAAAACCATCAAATCAAAATATAATCCTTCTCAATAACACTTTGCCGAAGAAATATGGGTCCTCAAAGCATTTCTATGAGCAAATTGTACATTCAAGTGATGAAATCAGTGCATCAGAGGGATCCGGACAGTATAGATACGTACTGGATCCTGCGGGGGGACAGATGGAGTTCATAGAAGAATCATCTCCAAATGAGGAGGTGTACGAAGTTGTTGAGCTACCTGGTAAGTTACTATTATAATATTTTTAGGGTTCCATACCTAAAAAGTAAAAAAGGAACCCTTATAAGATCACTTTCTTATCCGTCTGTCCGAGTGTCACCACCGATTTTCTCAGGTACGGGTAGACCTAGCAAGTTGAAATTTATACCAGATACTAAGGTCTATGGTCCCTATTAGGTGTATAAAAATCAAGGTCCTGAGTCAACACAATAAAAAAATATGGGAAAATTTTCAAAAAAGTAAGGTATTTTGGTACGGAACCCTCAGCGCACCAGTTCGACTCGTACCTGACCGGTTTTTTTATGACCCACAGTTCCAGAATAAAAATATGTTGCGAGACACACAGTTGTTTAGAATAAATATTTAGGTGAGCTTACTCGTAATTATGCACACAGAAAACATCTTGGCAATTTTAAAATGATATAATTTTAACTACAATTAGGTTATTAAACAATAAGTAATATACAGGGTGTCCCAGAAAGAATGGATAATCCTGGAGCGCTTAATAGTACAGCTATCTGGCGTACAAAAAAAAAACCAAAAAATATAAAAATTGGTGCCCAAATTATGAAGTTTTAAAAAAAAAAATACTTTTTGTTGTCCTTACTGTGCTTACACGGCCGCAAATTAATTAATGAGAAATGAATTTTGTAAACTGCATTAACTGCGCATTTTTTTTAAATAGTTGGCCCCTTAGGTTTTCATAATTTTTTTTCACAAAACGCCCTCATACTTTGTCATATTTTTTTTTTATAAAATTTCATGTTTAAAATTTAAGTTGATATTTTTTTTTCAAAAAAGTACAATAGTTACTCATACTATTTACTGCATTTCTAATAAGATTGTCTGTGAGGAATAAGATAACGCCAAAAACGCAACAAATTTCATTAATTTGCGGCCGTGGTGTGATGAATTTTTTTAATAAATATCACATTCGGTCAAAAATTGCAATGTAATTAATCAAACAGCTGAAGCGGTGCCTCTTGTGTGCCTGCCAACTTGTGTTAGTGTGCGTAGACTGTTTGCACGGAATAGAAATGTAGTTATTACTTTAGTGCGATACCTACGGTCGGGGACTGACCTTAACTCTTAGGACGTCGCGGCGCGCGGTAGACCTATGACCCGTTACTGTCGCGCCCTTGAACTAGTGACCCAGTCACAGCTGAGCGAAGTCATTATTACCTCAATATCTACGTTATTTTATAATTATATTCAATGAAATAAACATATTTGGAATCCCTGATATATATTCTTCTAAATGTTGTGACAGAGACGCTACCGCGTAAAAATTTGGTGTCACAACTGTTGTGACGGCGACGCGTCGGAGGTTAACACTGATTGCATAAAACGTTTAATTTTCCGGCAGAATATACCAATGATTTTCGACTCAGAATGATGGTCTGAACACACTACTTCAGAATTCGTTACGATGTCCCTTAAAACATGCATGTATGTATTTAAAAATATATACAAACAGTCTGGGTACCATAGTACAGTGTACACCATACTGTAACATAACAAAGCATTGTAAAATAAGATAAATTGTAATGAAACATAATATTGTAACGTAACGTAGACGATCGGATGGCGTAGTGGTTTGTGTAACGGACTGCTATTCCAAAGGTTGCGGGTTTTATACCCGCTGAAGTCAAACATTTGTGTACATGAACATTTAATGTTTAATTTGGTCTGGGTGTTTCGATGTATAATAAGTATGTATTTACAAAAAAAAGTATATATGTATTTATATCAGTTGTCTAGTACCCATAGTACATGCTCTGCCTAGTTTGGGATCAGACGGCCGTGTGTGAGATGTGTAAAATTTATTATTATTATTATTTACAATACTATAAAAAATATATTTTGTTTACAGGGGACCCCAACGAAGAAAGAATCGTGGTTGAAGAAGCATTGTTATTTAGTTAGCAAGTATAAGCCTGGGTCACCCTAAAACTATTCTCACGTACCCTATTATGACTAAGGGTCACCCCTAAAAGGACCATTACTTATATATGTAAGGACGATGTTGGTAATATTTGCCCTTTCTACTCTTCAAGTTAGGGTACAGAAGTCTTCTCGGCTATTTTTATTATTCTTACGTAATATTATCTAATTATTGAAATAATAATTTAAAAAACTGGCTGTCTGGCCTATTGGTGTAGTGTTTAACAATCCTGGTTGCTAAACCAGAGATTATTGGTTCGATACCCATCTAGGCAAAACACATATCATTTAAGAATAAAATACACTAAATGTATACAAATAAATAAAATTGAAGTGTTTGTAATGTCAAAATAATAGGTTTTTTTTTATGCTCACACGATTATTTATGTCTGTCTCTCTGTTTGTTCCGGGTAATCTTCTCAACGACTGGACCGATTTTGATAAAATTTATTACCAGATAGCTGTCTATATAAGGAGTAACTTATGCTATTTTGGCTCTTGGAAAACCCTTTCAAATTTTGGCTGGTCCGGGAATCGAACCCGCAACTTCGTTCGCGTGGAATTTGAAAAGCGCTACCTTTCCCGGATTGGGTGATCGAATGTTATAGGGCACAGACAGAAAACAATTTTTTAAACTGGTTTTTAGGCATAGATATCGTGTAAATAATCGTGTGAGCATGAAAAAACTATTATTACTACTAAACTATTATTTTGACACTACAAACAAACACATTAATTTTATTTATTTGTATAGACGAATGACATCCAGACACAGAATAAATGACAATCCTCATCACACAGTATTTGTCCTGGGTGGGAATCGAACCCGCGTCCTCGGTCTTAGCAGTATCGTTAACCACTAAACCAGTAGGTCAATACTATGTGTGTTCATAAATATACCTTATAGGGGTGGCTTGCAGTTTTTAGTTCATAGAACAAAAATAATACGTAATAATTAATTTTAGTGTTATTAAGTTAAGTTAAACTTAAATTTGCTTTGTAAACTATTCACAGTTGGTCCCATTCGCAGTTGGTCCCATTCACAGTTGGTCCCATTCGCGGTTGGTCCCATTCACAGTTGGTCCCATTCGCAGTCGGCAATGCGAAATGGGACCAACTGCGAAAAGTACACGAATGCTAATTTGACATTGATTAATAATATTATTAATTATAATATATTTAATAATTAGTTTTTAGATTAGGATAGATTTGTACGAAAAACAAGAGTTTGAAAATTTATTTGTACTACTACTACATAAACTCAAACTCAAAATATATTTTATCATCAGCCCTTAACAGTCCACTGCTGGACATAGGCCTCTCTTTACAATGGAGGTTTTGGTCTACTATACCACGCTGGCCAGACGGGTGGGTATAGGGTTTGTTTTAAGTTTTCCTTCTCTTTGCAGTGCTGCTGTCCTGCGTAGTTTTCTCCCTTAGTCGGCACTTACGACACCCACGGGATTAATAGGAGTGGTGACACTCTGTATTCTTAATCCGTCACCACGCGGTATAAAAACATATTTATTTCATAAAATTCTTTTTACAATAATTTCAGGTCTTCTTAGACTCTAAAGTCATAGATCAACTATACACAATAACAACAACCCGATATATTTTGATTTTGAAAAAAAAAAAAGATGTTTAGGTGTCCATGGGCGGCGGTAGTTGCTTACCATCAGGTGACCCGTCTGCTCGTTTGCCCCCGTATACCATAAAGAAAAATGAAGGTACTCCATTATATGCCTGTGCCGATCTTTAACCGCCCGTTTTCAAGGAGATGAGGTTTATGAGAAGTAAGGGCAAACAAACTCACGGCCACTGTTTTTTAATTGCAGCTACATGTAGGCCGACATTAAATAAATCATTTGGTATAGGCATTTTGCTAATTATGGTTTTAATCTAACTTAGCGGCAGCGCAGATCAAGAGGAGACGAAAGAGGATATTGTTAAGACACTCCAAAATAAATCTTAAACCTATTGCTATAAAGTGCATATACATATCGCGAGTTCGCCGAACATTCTTTGTCATGTTCAAACATGGAAATAATTGCTACTTTTAAATCATGGTCATATGATGAAATTATTTATTTTAGTCAGCGATTTCACATGTGGCTTGTGATTTGGGCATAGACAAAGATAAATGCACATTACGACCATTTCGCGAGTCTGGCGCTACCGTAATAAGAAAAAGTGTGTGTGTGTTAGCTCCGACCCACGACTGGAGTTTACTCCTTAAGAACACATACCCTGTCTACGTACAACTTTAGTGATCAGCGCCATCTATGTAAATGTTAGTAAAACAATTAGAACTCACGTATTAATTGCCATTTATTTTGGGGTTTATTGCGTTTTAAAACAATTTTAGTACACTACTCACTGAACTGAAAGAAATTACAAACATAGAACTAACAACAAACTCACAAAAATATTATTACAACTACGTACCGCCATCTATAAATTACATTTAGAACTAAAAAACGTACGAGGTCATTTGATCACTAAATTTTACTCGTCATATTTTTTTCATTCCGGGCGACATATATGGGAATCGATTCTTGAGGAATAAACTCCAATAATAATAAGTCGCCGTGGTTCTGTGAATTAGTCACAGGTGTGATTATATGATTTATAAATCATGTGATTGTGATTTTATTCTATCCCTACCTATTACCGTCATCCCGATCAACGTCGAATTTAAGACTTAGATCAGAAAATTGGGATCTCAAATATGAAATGCTTATACGAATGGGTGGGCGAATGGAATATTTCCAGTAGGTTTGGGCTTAACTAGATATGACTGTTGCGGTACTTCACGGATGGTGGAGCGGTTTAAGCGGTCACCTCGCCGCTTCCTAATTCGCCGAGTGTTGATCTCTTTGAAATGTCTGTGATCCTAGTACTTCTAGACAGTACCTTAACACCCCAACCACACCTCTTCCACTGTCTTTCAAACAACCACAAATTTTTGTTATGATTCTGGGTGTTGTTTGTGCCCGTTTTATGTATGCTTGTAAAGTCCCCCGCGATACAGGATATATTCCTAATGCGGGAGTTGTCTTTAAAGAAAAAAAAGCCGTGTGGTGTCGTGGGACACCCGATAGGAACGAAGTTGTGACTATCTAGTAAAACTGATTCGACACGATTTTAATTACAACGCAATCTATGAAAGCGGCTATTACCTACATATTTTTCAGTTGGTTTCTAATTAAAACTATTTATACATTGGTAAAATCTCCTTGAGCAATGATTTCCTATCTATTCGATAGATGGCGCTGAATGACTGACAAGTGACTATTCAAAATAAATACTGAGATGAAAAGTAATGATTTCCTATCTATTCGATAGATGGCGCTGAATGACTGACATAAAAAGTGTCGTTACAACCCCTTTCACAACGCGCGATAAGGAACTTCGTTCCAAAAAAACTGTTCTCTGTGTCACAGCTGTGTTTTTTTGTTGTTGTAGGTTGATTTGACATGACAGCCTTGACACTTTTGACATTTCACTCTGCGAATTAGTGTCAGGTATATCACTGTGTTGTCACAAGTGAAATCGTTGATACAAATGTAATTAATATTTTATGTATGTATAAAAATAATAGTTTATAATATGTAATAATGGACATAAATGTTATAAATAAGATATAAATAAATTATTACTTAGGAAATTAGTGTCTTTTTTTACCTGGTGGTAAGTGGCTACTTCCTTTCTAAGGAGAGGTCTATGTCCAGCAGTAGACTATTAAAGGCTGTTGATGATGATTGATGAAGTGGTTGCCGCCGCCCGTGGACACCAACGTAATAATGACTGCCTCGGTGGCGCAGTGGGAGCGTATGCAACTGCTGTTCTGAGGTCTCGGGTCCGATTCCCGGGTCGGACCAAATGTTTGTATGCTATGTCTTTGTATGTATATTACCTAAATATACTGCACGGCCGCTTTTTTGTAGTGGTGATAAAATAAATTTGGATGAATAACAAACATTTTGTGTATTATTGATCTTTTTCCGGTACTTTCTTGACAGAATAGTATACTAGTTCCCGTCGAAAACTTTTGGGCGGCGGCCAGTCGCGTTTGATCACCTTGTCCAGTTTTTTATTTGAGACCCGCGTTTGTTGTTATAACCGCGGGCAACGCCGCGGGGCGAAGCTAGTCTAAAAAAAGTAGCCTAAGTTACTCCTTATGTCATCAGCTATCTGCCAGTGAAAGTCCCGTCGAAATCGGTCCAGCCGTTCCAGAGATAACCAGGAACAAACAAACAGACAGACAGACAAAAATTGTAAAAAATGTTATTTTGGCATATGTACCGTGTAAACATTCATATGCATTTAGTAAAAAGCGGTTATTTTAATATTACAAACAGACACTCCAATTTTATTTATTTGTATAGAATAGATATTTAAATTCCACGATGAATATAATTTTACAATCCCTGTGTCATGCTTGAAATACTGATTTGTATGTTATGAAGTACTAGCTGACCCGCGCAACTTCGTCTGCGTCTCTCAATAGTAATAAATTTTCTTCGTTTTTTGAAACATTCTTCATTGGTGCTCCGCTCCTATTGGTCTTAGCGTGATGATATATAGCCTATAGCCTTCCTCGATAAATGGACCATCTAACACTGAAAGAATTTATCAAATCGGACCAGTAGTTCCTGAGATTAGCGCGTTCAAACAAACAAACAAACTCTTCAGCTTTATAATATTAGTATAGATTGGCTCTGACCAGTGAAGTGGTCAAACCTAAATACCAACAATGTTAACCTAGCTTTATTGAAGTGAAAATTTCTTTAGCCGCGATGAGCGACTTTAGGTACGAGAAAAAATTACGGGCGTCACCGATGACGTTGACATGCTCGTGACGTATTGAGCCCAACTAGCGACGCGTAGTGCCATTGTTTTGAGTTTTCACTTCTGTCGGCAGTACTTATGACTGCCTCTGTTTTATTTGTATCCAAGATGGCGCATGGCGGTTTATAGAAACATGGATACAGAGCTATATTTCGGCACATACATATAAGCCAGCTCGACCGGAGTGACTATACAGCTTCACAGAAAATCGATGTTAGTGTGACACACCGAGTGAGTGAGATCACAGGAAGAACCTGCCCCCCCCCCCCCCACTTTTGACTCTTAAGTTACAGATGTCCATGGACGAGTAGCGGCTAAGTAATTTTTGGTCACGCATCAAAGTCCATTGAATCATTGAAAAATAACGAAGGAATTGCTCCACACGTTTTCTATGAGCCCGTGAGAGTGATCCTGGTTCTTCTACGAATGTATGAAATATTTTCATACAACTCACACACGGCCATCTGATCTCAAACTAGGCAGAGCCTGTACTACGGTAACCAGACTGCTGATAAACATACTTATATATTTCTAAATACATAAATATTATAGACTAGCGGGTGCTCGCGATTTCGTTCGAGTGGAATTTGAGAAGCGCTGTAGTGGGTTTGATTTCCAGACCGGCCAAAATTTTATAGGGGTTTTCTGAGACAAAATAGTCTAAGTTACTCCTTATATTGACAGCTGCCTGGTAGTGAAATATTATCATAATCGGTCCAGCCGTTTTGAAGATTACCGGAACAGACCGACAAAAAATTTAAACTGGTTTTTAGGCATAGGTATCATGCAAATAACCGTATGAGCATGAAAAAACTATTATTTTGACATTACAAACAGACACTTCAATTTTATTTATTTGTATAGATACTTAAATATTATAGATAAAGTACACACAGATACAGAACAAATGACCGTGCTCATCACACAATTGTTTATCCTGGGTGGGAATTGAACCCACGACTTCTGGCGTAGCAGTCAGGGTCACTAACCAATAAACCAACAGGTCAGAATGAGGTCTATTTGTGTACTGTGTTTTCTTTTTATGTTAGAGGGGGCAGACGAGCAGACGGGTCACCTGATCGAAAACTGGTAAGCGAGTTGGTTAATACATTACAAAGTTAAGCAATCATAGTCAGAACAATATATGGATGGGTGACCTTTTCTTAACACAATGAGACCCCTACCGCCCGCCGTTGGTCCCGGTTGCCATACGAAGGTCTGTGTCAATCGTTACGGGTTGGAGTTGGAGCCCTAATAAGGCCGACAACAACCTTTCTACAGAACTTCGATATCGCCTAATTGAGTTGTGGAGGTCGTGTTCGAAATCGAAGTTCAGCCGTAGTTGACTTGACGCCGACCCCCAACCTTGAAGGGAAAAAGCTCGGAGGAAAGTCAAAATTTAAGCCCCACTGACGCAGATTTTTTTGAGTTTTTTAATCATACACAAACCAGACCAGACCTGGACTATCAAGGGCTGTTGATGCTGACGCAAATTAACTTACTATTTATAGGTATATAGATTGCATTAATAACGACCTCTTAAAATCAATCGAATCAATAGCATGCACAAAAATACGATAAATACACAATAAAATAATTCCCAACAATGAACATCGACCATTTAGGAAACGGTGTTTCTGAAATGTCCTTTTTCATCCCATTTCTCTGACCAAGAATTAGCTACAAGCCAGTATTCTTTATCACCTTCTACTCCGTACCGTCCCTATGTGTGTCATAGGGTACCATCGCTGTACCATCCTACGAGTCTCCCTTATTTTGTTCATATATACCCTCAGGATAATTCGGAAAAACTTGAAATACTGTAAAGCGGCTTGTATAGTATTTAAAATCATCATCACCATTGCAGACTTCAACTTAGTAAAAGTTCTACTTAATTTTTTCTATGGCCGGCTGTATAAATTTAAGTTTTCAGACGGAACATAGGAATAAGCTTTTGACTTGGTAGACCATCATTTATTTATACAAATTATTTCCTTATAGACAATTTATTTATACTAAAAGTGAACTATTTTTTAACTATGATGGCGTAGTGGTTCGTGTAACGGACTGCTATTCCAAAGGTCGCGGGTTCGATTCCCGCTCAAGTAAAACATTTGTGTGCATGAACATTTAATGTTTGATTTGGTCTGGGTGTTTCTATGTATTTAATATTGTGTGTGTGTGTTTTTACAAAAAAAAGTATATATGTATTTATATCAGTTGTCTAGTACCCATAGTACAAGCTCTGCTTAGTTTGGGACAAGGTGAGCTTTGTGTGAATGTGGTACAATATAATATTATATTATATTACTTTACAGGAAATATCTGAAAGTACAAAACAAAATAATCTACAATAATAGATATCGTTAGTTAACATAGCGGTATTTACCAGGGCAGTGTATCGGGTCCATAAGTATTATTTTATTATTATTATTTATTTTTCAAGTAAAGCAGAAATTTTCGGACAGTCTATTTTATCAGAAGTAAGAATACATAAAAATATTGAATTAATATATAGCACTTACAAAAAAAATAGATATTAAGTCAAAGTGTACTTCATGCCATTCTGAACTTAATGAATTAAAATGCTAGAAAGAGATGTTAAAATTAATTCTTCGGCATACCAGCAAACATAACTTTTTCAAATCCTACATCCGGCTGTTTAACTTTGATCCTAAAATATCCTTTTTCACCCCAGGTTTCAGACCAAGAATTAGCTACAAGCCAGTATTCCTTATCATCTTCTACTCCATACCCTATGACACGAACGCTGTGCCGTCCTATGCCTCTTCCATATTTATGTTCATAAATACCCTTAACGATAATCTGGGAAATCCTCGAACACTACAAAAGAGGCTTGTATAGGGCCATTTTGGGCTAACTCAGATTTAATACAATCTACATCGTTGTCGAGTTGGTAAACCTTTTCTGCATAATGCTTATCTTTAGTATAAGATATGTTCCTATCAACGCATTCTTTCTCACACGTGTTCTTATTTAATTTCTCTATGTCATACGGCTTGCATTTATTAGTCACCAAACCTTCTTTTTGCCAGAATGAAAAAGCAAAGTATGGAATACCTCCCTCACATACATGGTCTAGGCAACATTCGAAGTCTTGTTCAGCTAAATGTACGTGTGTGTTTTTATGGATACAAGTTCTATCTGATGCTGAAGTAGCAGCTCCAAAAGTCCAACAAGATCCACAATGTCCTTGATTATAAATTTCTTTGATAGTTTCACATTGGGGCCATTTTTCTCTCGCGTCAAAGTTTTTCGGCAAGTCTTGTAAGAGTACATTGCATTCTCGTGGTAATCCTTCGTCTCCGATTGGACTTTCAAGGCAGCCGTATTGAAAAGTTCGATTATAATCAGTGATTTTCCATGAGAAGTTCTGACTGTTGAAGTATTCTATAAAGGCCTTGCGATCCATGGTCAAGAATTTCTCGTGAACTTCCATGCCGCCATCTTGGTTAAGAGCGCAACAATAGTAACGAGAATCATTTCGATTTCTTTATGTTACTGAATGATGTGGACACTACACATTACTTCATTTATATACTGTGCTTTTTATTTTATCAATAACATTTAAGTTGTTAAAAGATAACGGACGGAAATATTTTTGATATATTTGGCATGTAGTAAAATACTGTAAAGTATGAAAAAATAACTTGTTTAATGTGGATATTTGTATTTAAAACGCAGTGGACATTGTTACAAAATGTATAAATAAGTAACTACTTTAATTTTGAAGCCTATAGCCATTATTAAAGCGTTATTTATTGAATATTAGCTTTTCCTCGTGGCTCATCATCATCAACAGCCTATAACAGTCCACTGCTGGACAGAGGCCTCTCCTTAGAAAGGAGGTTTTGGCCTACTATACCACGCAGGCCAGACGGGTTGATATATAGGGTTTGTTTCAAGTTTTTCTTCTCTCTGCAGTGCTATTGTCCTGCGTAATTTGCTCCCTTAGTCGGCTCTTACGACACCCACGGGATGTCGACCCGCGGTCGCCACGCCGCTTCCTATTGCGGAACCCTGGAATCGTTATTCAGTAATTTTTATTACGATTACAACAAAACTTGACTGCGTGGATGGCGTAGTAGTTTTAGCGGTCACCTGGACGCTACACTGAATTTTATGGGTTCGATCCCCACATGGAACAACACTTTGTGTGATCCACAAATTGTTGTTCTGAGTCTGGGTGTACTTTGTGTCCGTTTCATGTATGTTTGTAAAGTCCCCCGCGACACAGGATTTATTCCTAATGCGGGAGTTGTCATTTAAAGAAAAAAATATATAATTATATACCCATGCGAAATTATAGTTTCCTTGTACTAACAGTCCAGGCGTGGGGAAACTTTAAACGTTGCACATTAAGACTTCGGAACCCCAAAAATTAAAACGAAAAGTTCTTAACCAATAATTTATTGTCGTCTATAATCATTAACAGGATACGAAGCCGGCCTGTAGTTACTGAACCCCGTTTGCCTGTTATTAAAACTTGGTTCCCTTCGATCTTCAAACGTAGGTCGCTCATTGAGTCCCTGGTCATCATCATATCCAAAGATGACTGCTGCGACGAAGACTCTTTGCGTAATGGCGTATAAAGCTGGGGTATTTGGTGCACCACAGGACCTGCCATAAGAAGTAACAGCTACGACGCGCCAAACGCAGCCATCTTGGATTTGGGCGGGGCCTCCAGAGTCACCCTGGAAGAGGAATCTATGTGTTAATCTACTTGAAGAAACGCTTACGCTACTGGGATTCATTTTTAGCTCACGTATTGGTTAATTAAAAAAGTTGTCGTGAGTTTGTTTGCCGTCTCAATCCCTTGAAAACTGCAGCTTGCAGATCGGCACAGGCATATCATAGATTTTCGATACGTATATATTTAGTTTATCTATAACTTTAGAGTCTACACAAGAGACGATTTCAAACAATCTTAATGTTTTTATGAAATTAAGATATTTTGGAGTTGGAGATCTTTGGAGCTGATGGTACCTAGCCACTCTACCATCTTCTATGAGAAGTCATTCACAGTGCAAGCTGTCAGATTATGGAACGCCTTGATCCATAAGACGTGTCCAAACACTGACAGCAGTTAAGAATATGGTCAAAGACTACTACTTCTTGAGTGCCTACTGTTTGCTTTCAATAACTGTGCATGACTAAATGATTACATAGTTATCAATATATATTGTATAAATATGTATGTGTGTATATACTCGTATAGTTATATATAAAATTATATATTAATTTTTACACTACTGTAGCTTCAATACACCTTGACTACCGATGGTTTCTACTGTGGATGGTTGACTGAGTATGGTTTCTCATCTATTGTCTATTTGTCCATCCAAAGGTTGCCTGTAAGAGATTGCTTTTAGCGATAAGGCCGCCCATTGTACATATCCGTCTGCAATAATATTAATCTAAAATATTGTAATTGGTGTACAATAAATAATTAAAATAAGAATATTCTAATAATAATAATATATCGCTTTAATGTACACCAGGTATAAATATACAATAAATAACTTAAATTAGGTTAGACAAGTACAAATGGCGACCTTATCGCTCAGAGGCAATCTCTTACAGGCAACCGTGGTATGGAGAGAAAACATGAAGGGGAAGAGGTATAGGGTAATGGTTGGTGGGTTAGGAAATAGATAAAAGGAGGAAATAAAAGCAGTATATATATATATAATTTTAAAAAATAGTGATAGTTACACATAGTATATATTTGTTCTATTCTATTCTAAAGATATTTTGAGTCTGAGTTTGAGTTTGGCTGATGTATAACTTTGACTGGCCTGTCGGTCCAGTGCTTAGTGATCCTGGCTGCTAAACCAGAGGTTGTAGATTCGATTCCCACCTAGTACAAAATATTTTTTTATGATGAGCACGATCATTTGTTCTGCTTCTAAACGATTGTGTGTGAAATAAGTCAAGTTATTTTCTATAATAATATACGTGAAGAAATCCCTGTACCCCTTTTTAAACAAATATGGCGCGTGGAAGTGAGATAAACCGTGTAGTGACGGATTAAGAATACGGAGTGTCACCACCCCTGTTTATCCCGTGGGTGTCGTAAGAGCCGACTAAGGGAGTAAACTGCGCAGGATAACAGCACTGCAAAGAGCACGAAAAATTGACACAACCCGAAAGGGTATAATCCGACAGGTATCAGGTGGCCCGACTGCTCGCTTTCACTCCTACACCTACCATAAAAAAGAAAAAACATTTCATCTCTTACCTGACAGGTGTCCTTCCCGCCAGCTTTTTCACCAGCACACATATGACTGGCGGGTGAGGGCCCATTGGGTAGTTTCAGAGAGGTACCCCAAATCTCCCGGCACTCTGCCATGTTCCACACTGGGAGGGAAACGCTACGGAGTTCTACTGAGTGATCTCCACCTGGAAAAGAATAAAAGATTATATAACTTGATATTGTTTGAGAATAACTTGATGGTTTATCTATCTAGCGGTTGGTGATCGTGCCTGCTGAGCCACAGGTCGTGGGTTCGATTCCCACTCAGGATTAATAATTGTGTACTAACCACAATCATGTGTTATGTCCGGGTGAAGATTGTCTATAATGCGTATGTACTAGCTTTTACCCGCGGTACCGCCCGCGTAAATGTCGGTAAAAAGCAGTGTATGTCTTTCCTCAAGAATCAAGGTATCTCCATACCAAATTTCATCGAAATCGGTTCAGCGGTCATTGATTCCCCAAAAAAACTTAAAAATTTATAGCTAAGAACCATCTTGATCACATCAGCTTTCGAATAAAAAATCCGCATCGAAATTGATCCTTCCGTTCGGGAACTATGATGCCACAGACAGTCAGACAGATACACAAACTTATAACACCTCTCGTTTTCCGGTGGGGGGTTAAAAATAGTTGCGGTTACTAAAGACCTTACCGAATTCGGTTCTGCCCCATCCTGTTGCTATAACCTTCTTCCCAACTGGTGGTGGTACTCCCAAACACGCAGGGCGAACCATTTCCGAGAACCTGAAATTAAAATACATACATCATCAAAAGCCTTTACTAATCCACTGCTGGACATAAGCCTAAAAAGGAGGTTTGGGCAACTATGCCACGCTGGCCAGACGGGTTGGTATAGGTTTTGCTTCAAGTTTTCCTTCTCTTTGCAGTGCTGTTGTCCTTCTTAGTTCGCTCCCCTAGTAGCGTTTTACGACACCCACGGGATGAACAGGGGTGGTGACATTATTGGGTGATTATTACATAGATATATTCACGTCTTTATCTCCGAAGGGGTAGAAAGGGGCGTATTAAAACGCACATTGCTAAGTATAATTTCCGACCCAATATTAATGAAATTTATTTCTATAAGTAAACCTTTTCAGATAATTTACGAGTCGGACTTTACAGCTAGAAGGCGCCGGCATTTTCTAAGACTCACTTTTGGAAGAAACGCCGAAACAAACTACAGAGGTGTCTTTTTAGTCCGTGATTTTTTTTTAAGAGAACTGTGGGTGCAGTATAGGGTCTGGATTGGCCTTTTGAAGAAAGGACCCTAGTTTTGAGTAGGCATGTCCATGTGATACATATTTCTAAATACATACATATTATAGATAAATTACAACCAGATACAAAGCATCGTACTCATCATCAGCCTATCGCGGTCCACTGCTGGACATAGGCCTCTCCCATTGCACCCACTTAGATCGTACTCGTCACACAATATTTATCCTGGATGGATATCGAACCCACAACCTCTGGCTCAGTAGTCAGAAGACCACCAGCATACTGACTATTCTCTTGGAGACAATAATATTAAATAATAATATTTTTCGGACATCTGACACACAACGCCATCTAGTTTCAAACTAAACAGAGCCTGTACTATGAAAGCTAGATTAAGTGATATAGAATACATACATACATAATATACATAGAAAACACCCAAACTCCGAAACAAATATTTGCAGATCCAGCAAACATTTGCTCCGACCCGGGCATCTAACCCGAGATCTCGGCCCAGAGGTTTACAATAAGGTAGACCTTTTGTCTACTTACTTGACTGTCTGAGCCATTTTGATAACAGCGATATCGTAATAAGATCTTCTCTGTTTATACTTCGGGTGGCGAATGACAGCTGATATTTGGACAACCAACGCACCAGGGTCGTTCAGGTAAGAAGAACCGAGCTGCACGGCTTGCGGTGGACCACTGGAATAAGAGCTGAATATTAAATGCTGATTGATTAGATTCTGCTGCAAGAATGGAATAGTAGTTTAACTTAAACTTCTTCCTCCTTAACTTAAACTCCTTAAACTGTTTAAGGAGTGTTTAAGAGTGGACTGCGTAAATTTCTAGTAGATAACACTTACTACAGTGTAACAGTATTTTTATCGGTTTTTTTTTTATTTTAGTGCTATGATTATGGATATATTATCTTGATGTCTTTTGTGGAGTTTGTATTGTATGTTTACTATTGTGTCATTACTGATTTTTATTATCTAATGTTAAGACTTAAAATTAATATTATTGCGCATTGAGTCTAAAAGCATATTTTTTAGCCTAATACAAAAAATGTTTGCACGCCACTGGTAAAATATGGTTGAGCTTTACTGTAACACCTATCATGTATTACCCATATTTGTAAAATAAAATATTCTATTCTATTCTATATTCTAATATTCAGTCACCTCGCCGCTGCCGAGGAGTTCGATTCCCACATGGGACAACACTCATGTGATCCACAAATTGTTGTTTTGAGTGTACTTTGTGTACGGTTTATGTATGTGTAAAGTAAAGTCCCCCACGAGACAGAATTGTATCTCAGCCAGATGTCTTTTTTAAAGAAAAGATAAAAGATTCTAACGTCTCTGCCTAACCTGGACAGGAACGAGACGTGAAAGAAGCAAACATGAAAGTTAAAAAAAACTATTTCACTAAAGGCAAAAGCAATGGGTAAAAGCACCACCCACCTGTCTACTTCATAATCCTTGTCTTGATACGTGCAGTGGCCAGCTGTTAGGACATACTGGTTGCTGATCAAGGAACCGCCACACTTCCAAGCGTAGCCGGAACCCTGGAATCGTTATTCAGTAATTGTTATTACGATTACAACAAATCTTGACTGCGCGGATGGTGTAGTGGTTTCAGCGGTCACCTGGACGCTTCTTACTACGCTGAATTTTATGGGTTCAATCCCCACATGAAACAACACTTTGTGTGATCCACAAATTGTTGTTATGAGTCTATGTGTTCTTTGTGTCCGTTTCATGTATGTTTGTAAAATCCCCCACGAAACAGGATATATTCCTAGTGCGGGAGTTAAAACGAACAAAAGAGAGCCACGCTTCAGCAGATATGGGCTGAGTTGGTGGGAGTAATACCACGGCCTCACAGAAAACCGGTGTTAAGCTTTCTTCTGTAGCTTTTCAGCGAGGGATTTAACATCACCAGAGTCCGAGACTCAAAAGGCAACAACGAACTTGAGGCTCTTGAGCTGAAGATGTCATCATCGGGTGACTCTACAGTCCGTTTGCCCTCCATAAAAAAGTGATGATGATGATTTAGACTAGTAAAAATGAATTTTGATGAATTTACTCAGATAGAAGGAATCTTGGAGAAGGACGTATGCTACCTTTTCTCGAAAACAGAAGTTGACAGCTGCAAATTTCCAGCACTTTCAGAGAACGATTAATACTCACTCTTATTTTCTTCCAGCCCACCAGTGCCATGTGTGGAAATTCATTGATGCTTGTTACTTTCCCCCCAATCACAAGGGGAGCTGTTATTGGGACGCACGAAGACACATTCACTTGTACAGGATCTGGCGAAGGTAGTAATGGAAGAGCCACAATTTTCTTTAGATGCATGCTCTTGTAGCCATCACACACTGGAAAATAAGAATAAGTTTTATTGAATATTGGAGTTAAGCTAAAGAGCAGACGGGTCACGGGGTAGTAAGTGACTTTGAGCCCCCCCCCCCCCCAAGAAAGCCGTAAGCAAGGAAAGACTATTTTGACATCGGTATTCTGTAAAGCCAAGGTTTCACACCGATCGAACCAGTCGGCCGAATTTTTTTATTCAATTGATTTCTCTTAGTTCTAATTGAATTATAACTTTGAAAAAAATAATTATAACTGTCTATACACTAACAGCTTGACAAGTTTAAGCAAAATCCAAAATGTGCAAAATAAATGGACCAAACCCTTTTGTTACGTGTTAAATAATATAACTTGGATAAAGCCAAAAGCTTTTAGGTTTAAAGACTTTCAAAAAGAAGGAAGATAATTTACAAATCTTACTTTTTTCAGCCATATTAATATATTGTCTCTTCTGCCCTTCCGACATGTCTTCTTCATCAGGCCCTATCAAAATATCGGGCGAATCACTAGAGCTTTTGCTGAAATCTCCAAACCCTGAATCATAAGGGTTATTAGTCACAGGTTTGTTTGTTATAGGGGGTTGATTAACATCTCCAGGTATAGGTTTAACCCCCGGACGACGGTTATCGTTGTAATTATTACCCCCCGAAAGTTCCCCATCGTAATTTGTATTTAAAACTCCTCTGTTGTTTTGCGAACCCCTGTTGTTTGTGGTACCCCTATTAAAATTATCATTTCCCCGGTTGTTGTTGTGATCTGTGTTAATGAAACCTGAATTGGGAGATCCAAAATTGTTGTTTCTGTTGTTCTGTGTTGGCCTATTTTGCATGCTTATGGCATACACATCAGGATTCCTATGATTAGTCGGTTGTTCAAAGTTATTATTCTGACCCCTGTTATTATTATTACTATTTTCATTACTAATATATCTGTTGTTTTGATTATTATTATTATTATTTACATTGTGAGTGTTAGGGTTCCAGTTGTTGGCTGGCACCCTATTGAAATTATTATCATAATCTATATTAATGTCAGTTCTTCTGTTGTTTTGTGAATTGCCTCGTGAATCAAAGTTATTCTGATTATATATTTCTCTTGGCTTCTGGTTTTCAAAAACATTTTCTGTGACTGGTCTATTAAAGCTGTCAGACCCTCTGTTGTTATAACTATTACTTACAAAAGCATTTTCTGTTGTTGCTCTTCTATTATCGTAAAAATTGTTTATGGGCGCTGTTGTTGTTGTTGTTGTTTTTATTCTTTTGTTAGGATTTATTGTATTTCTTTTAGTTGTTACTTCATATGCTTGTGTATATAAGTCACTGTAAATACTACCAGTGTTGTAATTCCTAATATTAGAATTCTTATTAGAATGACTAGAATAAGATTTAGTAGTTTTTCTACTAGATTTAGGCGTTGTTATTGGAAAATCATTGTCATATTCATCTAGCGGTGGTCTTCTTGAATATACTTCTTCATCGTCGTTCCTTCTTCTGTTATCTTGTCTGTTTGGTTGTCTGTGGGTCCCTGTGTATATGTTGTATGGAGCGAATAGGTCGACTGGTCGTTGATATGGCTGGTAGAACTGCTGGAGGCCTTGGTAGACATCTGGAAGTAAAAGATGGTAGGGTAAGTTAAGTAAGCAAAGTACAGAAGAGCCATGCTCCGGCACATTGCACCAGCTCGACTGGAACAACTACGCCCTCACTGAAAACCCGTTTTGATCAATTCTTTTGTTGCTATCATCATTCTGTGATGAGTGAGGTTCCCGGAGGACTAAAACTCACTCCTTTCCATTTTCCAGAGCAGGGGGGTGAACTTAAAGGGTGGCAACCTATTTATATATCTCCAGTGTCAATGGGCGGCGTTAGTCCATACTTTTTTGCGATTTCTTTAATTTCCAAGCTCGAAGTTATACATGACTAATATTGATTATATTTGATCGTGTTAAAAAAAAAACTTAATCATCATCATCACAACACATCAACAGCCTTTAAAAGTCCACTGCTGGACATAGGCCTCTCCTTAGAAAGGAGGTTTTGGCCTACTATACCACGCTGGCCAGACGGGTTGCTATAGGGTTTGTTTCAAGTTTTCCTTCTCTTTGCAGTGCTGGTGTCCTGCGTAGTTTGCTTCCTTAGTCGGCTCTTACGACACCCACGGGATGAACAGGGGTGGTGACACTTAGTATTCTTAATCCGTCACCACACGGATTAATAATAAAAACTTAATAAGTTAGTAACTATCGTATTTATTTATAACTTATGTAGAATGTTATGACGGTCAACTAGTCTCAATAAATAACTAGTTCGTTTTTTTGCTTCTTTTTTTAAAAATTCGAGTAACTCGTTTATCTGGAATTATTCGAATAGTGCAAGTTATGATGTTAAAACTTAATAATATTAATAGTAATATACCTCACACATCTCTCACACGGCCGTCTGATCCTAAACTAGGCAGAGCCTGTACTATGGTAACCAGACTGCTGATAAACACACTTATATATTTTTAAATACATACATAAGATAAATTACACACAGACACAGAACAAATGACCGTGCTCATCACACAATTATTTGTCCTGGGTGGGAATCGAACCCACGACCTCTTGAGTAGCTGGGCTACTAGCTAATAGATTAAAAGGCCACTTGAATACTTAATTAGGGTGAATATTGCACACCCTTGCGTTAGTCACTTTACATTCGGCGACAGTACCAGTTTGCCACTTATAACACTCCTCATTTCAGGGGGGGGGGGGAGCATCTTCTCCTCTCCGCCGGCTCGTGGCTGAGTTGTAACCAAATAGGTTAACACATTTCAAAGTTAAGCAATCCTAGCCAGGTCTCTAAAGGGTTATGGGTGTTTTTATCAATTAAAAGATGGTAATTAATTGAATATGAAAACTTTTATTCTTCAACTGCACAGCAAGAACACGATGTACAATAATAGTAATGTGGAGAGTCATAGACAATGCTGTCACCTAGTTAAACTTTTTAAGCTATTGCATAGCTTCCATCGAGGGCCTTGAGCGCGGGGACCGAATCCAGAAATTCCGTAACGAAAAAAAACCTCACGCTAAAAACAAAACAAAAAACAGTACCAAAATCAAATGCTGAACGTCAAAGGAAATTTTGTCAACATAATGCAGAAAAATCTTACATGGATATGTAAGTTGATTTAATAATATTATTTTTTATTTATTTATTTAAAAACAAATTGTAATATATGCTTCAATATTTTTATTTAATAAAAGAAAAAAAATTGATTTCTTATCGGTCACCACGCTCAAAAAGTGTAACTTGAATTAATATCAAAGAAAAAGAAATACTGCATAAATAAAATAAATAAATAATTATAATTGCATAAGTTGATACAAAATGCTATGCAATAGCTTTACCGCGGCAGTCCCCGAGTGCCACACGTCTTTTTTTTTTTATAAGCATAGACAATGCTGTTACCTGCTTAAACTTTTTTTTTTTATAAGCATAGACAATGCTCTCACCTGGTTAAACTTTTTTTCTATGGATGGGTGACCATTCTTAACACATTGTTACCAATCGTTAAGCCGTTGGTTCCGGTTGCCATGCGAACATCTGTGGTAATCGTTACGGGTATTTGGAGCCCCAAAAAGTCTTACAACAGTCTTTCTACAGAACTTCGATATCTCCTGGTACTTGGGTTGTGGAGGTCTGATGGCACAGGCTCCACGTAAAAAAACTAAGTTCAGCCGTATCGTGGTAGACTTAAACCCGATCCCAAAAAGGCCGGCAACGCGTTTGTGACTCCTGAGTTGCAGACGTTCATGGGCGGCGATAGTCACTTTCCATCGGGTGACACGTCTGCTCGTCTGCCCTCCTCTAACATTAAAAAAAGAAGTTTGAGAAAAGGCTCGGAGGAAGGAAGGAAGAAGTAAATAAATTACTAACCGTAATACTGTCCCTGAGTCACGGTGAAGCAAGACAACCCTAGCAGCAGTAGTAGTGTATACAACACGGTGTAATCCATGTTTGCATTATTATCTGAAAAAAAAAAACTTCGCTAATTTATTGATCATAATGAGACGGGCCTGTTGATCTAGTGACCCTGACCAGAGGTCGTGGTTTCGATTCTATGTCTGAGTGTAATTTATAGAATAGAATAGACTAGAATAGAACAGAACAGGACAGAACAGGACAGAACATACTAGAATAGAATGGAATTGAGTACAATAGAATATTATTTATTACATAAAGCACAGCATACAAAAATAAAACAAAAGTTAAAAACAACATACACAAAGAAACTAAAAATAAAGTAAGGTTTGGTAAAGGCAACATTTTTTAATGTGTCAATCTTTCATTTTTGACAGAACTGACATGACACGTCAATGCGCCATGTATCCATCTACGCGTCTAAATAAAAATTTGACAGAACTGACATGACACGTCAATATGCCACGTATCCAACCACGCGTCTATAAAATTTAACTTATAATAACTATGTTAGTACTTATCAACTAATACTTACCAACCTGTGTACCATAAAAAACCGGTCAGTTAAGAGTCGAACTCGTGCGTCGAGGGTTTCGTACCTACCTAGATTTTACGTAGATTTTATAAAAATTTACCTAAATTTTCAACTTTTTTATTTTTCAGAATTTTCTCTTTACTTGTGCATGCCCTTTGCCCATATCTTTTTATCGTGTTGATTCAGGAACTTGAATGAAACTATGTATTACGAATAGCATGATTATTATTATTGTTACGGTACTCTTTGTTCCTGTAGGAGGGGTCATAATTTACGTCACGTCATGTTTAAACCTGATACTCCATCCTTCCGTGTGGTAACGGAGTAAGAATATGGATTGTCACCACCCCTATTCATCCCGTGGGTGTCGTAAGAGCCGACTAAGGGAGCAAACTACGCAGGTCAACAGCACTGCAAAGAGAAGGAAAACTTGACACAAACCTTATACCAACCCGTCTGGCCAGCGTGGTATAGTACGCCAAAACCTCCTTTCTAAGGAGAGGCCTATGTCCAGCAGGGGACTATTAAAGACTGTTGATGTTTGATGATGACTCGTATATATCCAAGTATTAAACGCCAAAGAATTATTAACAGTAAACTTAAAAATGTTGCAAATTTCGGAACTGCTGTTAATTTACACTCATTTCTAGATGTAGTTGACTGCGATGTGTGTTGTGGGTCCGACCCTGACAAGAGACAACACTTTGTGTGATCCACAAATTGTTGTTCTGAGTCTGTGTGTTCTTTGTGTCCGTTTCATGTATGTTTGTAAAGTCCCCCGAACCACAAGATATATTCATAATGCGGGAGTTGTCTTTAAAAAAAAGAATTGCGCAGTAATAAAGATTATTATTAAACACGCAGGATATCATGGACACACAGGACACCCACTAGGAATAGAGTTGTTTTTTTTTAAATAAAACCTAATGCAAAATATGAGTAGAGGCTCAAATATTGTGACCAGCTGTAACAGGGACGAAGGTGTCAAAAAGCCATGAAATTCGTGGAAGTAATTTATCGATGACCTACTTAGAGGATGTATTTTTTCTTCATACTTAAATTTCCAAGTTTAAAAAATTCTCAAATGAAAAATAAATAAAAGACACACTAGGCCACATCACGTTTCAAGCATTCTTGTCTTCTATGTAATCCACAATTGAGTAATAGTCTTTCTGATATAGTTTACGTTATATTGTGGATTTACATTTGTTTATACTAAAGTCATGTATACTTTTTGGGATTTTATTATAGAATCGGACACATTGACCTCGAAATGACTTGTTTATCTTTTGGAGCCGTGCAACAGGCAGGTACAACTAGTTTATTTCTGGTATTTAATTTACATCACTTCTTTTCAAGAAGCTATCTTTGTTTTTATGAACATATATTACATTTTCATATGTATATTGACTTACCACTGTCATTATGTTTATTTCTTTAAATCAATTTAACTATGAACCATCGAACGAAATGTACGAAATTAATACGAACCCATTTTATATATCAAGGTCTATATCCTCTATGAAAAACACAGACTGTTTAGTCATGTCTGACCCAGAAAACTGTTCAGTATCTAGCGGTTCTCAGACAACCGGGTCATTAGCACATGTAGTTATTTTTTTGGAGATAAAACTGAACTCGTATCACGATCAACTGATCAACTAGTCTAGCGTTAACATGTACGTGACTTTATTACAATCAAATTTCGTCTGTAATTTAGAGAAATAATGATTAGATTGCTTGGTCGTGTGGTCTAGTTAGAGATTCGGAGCCAGATGCATTGTAAAGAGGGCAAATCTATACTAATATTATAAAGCTGAAGAGTTTGTTTGTTTGTTTGTTTGTTTGAACGCGCTAATCTCAGGAACTACTGGTCCGATTTGAAAAATTCTTTCAGTGTTAGATAGCCCATGTATCGAGGAAGGCTATAGGCTATATATCATCACGCTAAGAGCAATAGGAGCTGAGCACCAATGAAGAATGTTTCAAAAACTGAGAAAATTTATTACTATTGAGAGACGCAGACGAAGTTGCGCGGGTCAGCTAGTTATTAATATCTTGGCACATTTAACATACAGCCGTCTGATGCCAAACTAGGCAGAGCTTGTACTAAAGTAACCAGTCTGAAAAACATACTTACAAATTTTGAAACAGATACATACTATAGATAAATCAAATATATAAAATGGGTTCACGGTTCATCATCATCATCATCATTAGCCTTTAATAGTACACTGCTGGACATAGACCTCTAAATAGAAAGGAGGTTCTGGCCTACTTTACCACGCTGGCCAGAGGGGTTGGGATCAAGTTTTCCTTCTCTGTGCAGTGCTGTTGTCCGGCGTAGTTGGCTCCCTTAGCTCCCGACACCCACGGGATAAGTAGGGGGGCACTCAACATTTTTAATCCGTCACCACACACAAGCCGACATATTTCAAAGACATAGTCCTTTACAATGTGCCTTTTAAGGAGGTTCAAAGTCATCCAAAGAGCAATTTAGAGTCCAATGTTTATTTTATGACGACCGGATGGCGTAGTGGTTTGTGTAACAGACTGCTATTCCAAAGGTCGCGGGTTCGATTCCCGCTTAAGTCAAACATTTGTGTACATGAACATTTAATGTTTGATTTAGTCTGGGTGTTTCTATGTATAATATGTATGTATTCACAAAAAAATATATATATGTATTTATATCAGTTGTCTACTACCCATAGTAAAAGCTCTGCTTAGTTTGGGACTAGATGGCGTTATGTGAATGTGGTAGAATATTGAAATAGACAAAGGTAATTTGTTATATATTATTGTTATATGTTATTAACTTTATGATGAATGTACATGGCGTAGTATTTAAGTTCTGCAACTGGTTTTACGTACATTTTGGACCTAATTGGAAACCAGCGGCAAGCTTTCATCTGAAAAGCTAAATTGGGTCCATTTTTGGCACCTGTGGTAACTCAAGCTGCAAAATTGCCAAAAGTGTTGTGTTATTGCCAAAATAAACTTTTTATCTTTCTTTCAATGCTCGGAGTTTTTCTGCGTGATCGAATCAGGAATGAGGAGATCCGCAGACGAACCAAGGTCACTGACATTGCCGTGAGAATTGCTCGCAGAAAAGCCGATGGGGTCAAAAAGTTCTAGAGTGGCGACTACGTACCGGAAGACGGACCGTGGGTTGGCCCCATACAAGGTGGTGGGACGACCTGTTAAAATTCGCGTTGTATACGGGCAGCAAAGAAAGAAAGAAAGAAAATACGTTTAATTAGTCACAACACAAACACAGCCAAAAAAGGAATTACAGATATAACATAGAAGAGAAAAAGAAAAGAAACAATTTGCTCAACTGAAGAATAGCACAAACAATAACAAAAACAAACAAGTACAAAAGAATAAAATGATCACTGTGTGTGACTAAAGGGCCACAACTCAGCCTATGCTATAGTCCCTAAAAGTGACCACAGCGCTGATTTTCAAAGTGAAAACTTGAATATTAACGTTGTGCATTTTTGATATTTTGATAATTATCAGTATAAAAGTACTATCAAAGGACTGGTTGTTGTGGAGGGCCTTGGGGGAGGCCTATATCCAGCCCTGGACGTCTTTCTTCTGAGATGATGATGACGATATTATGAAAAATACTTTGTATAAAATCTTCTTTCAAATAGACAAACACTGAATCTAAGTTTGCTAATCCATTTAGGAGTTAAGATACCGCAGAAAACTTACGAATATTAACCGAAATCAATAACATTGATAAAAATATGTTCGTGACGTCCGAAAACTTGATTCTAATTGCTAATTTATTTTAGGTGTGGCATTCACCTTACGACAGGTTTGCACCAGACGGGTATCAAACCAGTTTAAAAACACTAAATGGAAACGATAAATAACGATATGTTTTCTTTTTGGCTTTTTTAAAGACAACTCTCGCATTAGGAAAATAACTTGCGTCGCAGGGGCCTTGACAAACATACATGAAACGGACACAAAGAACACCCAGACTCAGAACAACAATTTGTGGATCGCACAAAGTGTCGTCCCATGTGGGGACCGGACCCACAACACTCAGCGTAGTAGTAAACGGTGTGGCGACCGCTTGAACCACTACGCCATCCGTGCAGTCATGAATATTTACCTATGTTGAGTGCACATACAACATTCAACTGGTACATCACAAAGCGCAGGTTCGATACCTGCAAAGTTCAATATGCTACGTAATTAACTGGCCTGTGCGACTAGTGGTTAGTAACCCTGACTGCTAAACCGGAGGTCGTGGGTTCGATCCCCACCCACCCTGTTCTGTGGCTAGGTGTAAGTTATCTGTTACTGTAGGGATGCTTCTGCGCTAAGTGTTCTGGGTGCGATCCCCACATGGAACACAAAAGTGATCGGCAAATTGTTATTCTGAGTGGAGTATTCTTTGTGTCCATTTCATGACTGTTTGTAAAGTCCATCACATCACATCATCATCACATCAACAGCCTTTAATAGTCCACTGCTGA